TCGAGAGGCTTCTCTGGTGCTCCAACCGTCACTAGCTTTCCATGAGACTTCAAAAGATCAATCAAAGGCATTAGAGGATGAACCGCAAAAACAGTGTCGATTATACCATCCAAGGTACAATTTGCAGCCTACATACACAATTACAGTTAACAAAATTAAATCAAAATGTTTTCTATGTCATGACTAGTCACTCTTATTTGGTTAAAATCCTAATATAAGAGTCAAGCAAAACTACAACTAACTCAATCCTAGAAAATAAATTACAAAATTATCAAACACAAACAATAACAATCAGTATAACATAATTTGGAAAGCATGATGTGAGAGAAAGAACAAAATAAGACACCTTCATTTGATCTTGGTCTCTACTTAGCACAAAGTAATCTGCTCCAAGATGTTGAATGGCTTCTTGTTCCTTACTAGGAGAGGTACTAATGACAGTAACTTTCATGCCAAGGGCTTTTGCAAACTTCACAGCCAGATGGCCTAATCCACCAAGGCCAACCACTCCGAGGTGCATACCAGGTTTGTCAAGGCCAAAATATCTCAAAGGTCCATACACTGTGATCCCTGCGCAAAGGAGAGGTGCAGCAACATCAAGAGGTAGGCCATTTGGAATGTTGACAACAAAGTGCTCATCTACAACCATGAAGTCAGAGAAACCCCCATATGTGATGCTACCATCCACATACTTGGCACCATATGAGGGAATCGCTTGTTGGCAGTAATTCTCAAGATTGTTGACACAATTTTTGCATGAGGAACAAGACCCAACCAAACATCCCACTGCCACCTTGTCTCCAATCTTAAACTTTTCTACTTTGCTTCCCACTTCCGTTACTTCTCCAACAATCTCACGCCTAAAACTCATTATCCATTATTAATAAAAGCTTTCATAATGAAACACAAGATGTGAGATGTCTAATAGGCTTCCTTAACTTATCTTGAAAATCTCTTTATTTATTTAGAGATAAGACTAAATTATAAAATATCAGAAGAAATAAAATTTATCTTATTTAGTCAGTTTAATGAGATTGAATTAATAGAACCTCATATTAATTATTTATAATATATTGGATAGTTCACCTTGATTAGAGATAAAATAGAATTAAAATATAAAAATAGATACGAAACTCATATTTTAAATTGATTTTAGAAAGTTAAGTTAGACTTAAAGTCTATTTATTAAAATAGTATATTTTAG